GGTAAGTCACTGGTTGATATTCAGTGATCTCTTTGGGCAACAAAGAGAAAAGATTGACTGAGTGAGAGGAATTGGGCCCTGTGTGATGGGAAACAGCTCCACAGGAGTCCTCAGGGCTGATAGGTTGAGGCAGCTGTGTAAGCAGAAGCACACGAACATGGGCCCTCTCTCCCCTGCAAGAATCAATGAAGCAGTTCAAATGCTCTGGATCCAGGGTCCCTGACATATAGGAACAATAGGGAGGATGGGCCAGGGGAGCCTGAATCGACAGTCTGGTGTAGCTGCATTGGAGCAGTTGAAAATACTTTGGGTTCAAGACAGATCAGATGTTTAGATGCTGCTTCCATGCTGGGGCCAGCAACCAAATCTATCTGTGCTTCCACACCCTCTCCATAAAGTGAGAGTTGTGTTAGCACAGTTGAGAGAGAAAGACACTCAACATGCAGAGCATCCATCAGATAATAAGCCTTCTACAAAGAGCTGGAGTCAGGTGAAGAGATGGGAGATAAGCGGTGGACCTTTAAATTTGGTAGCCAGAGAAGGCCTCTCTGAGGAGGAGACAGCTAACCTGAGAAAGGAGTGAAGCCTTATGATTTTCTACTCTAGAATGCTCTAGCTTCTGCACAATACCTGCGTGCCTGGGATCAAGCAAAAGGAAAGTGTATAAATTTTACTAAGTCTTTGTGGGGGGTCCAGTTATGTTGGTGGCTTGCAGCTTACTTCTGATGTTTTCTTCTGGAATGCCCAATGTGCTCCAGTAGCAGACGTAAAGGCAATCTGACTGAGACTGCTTAGTGATCTATACATTGCATAAGGTCATTCCCGATACCAAATACACACACACAGACACACACACACAGAGGCACATACTCTCTCCTAGTGGCTCTCCTCTGGATGATATCTGATGGATAAAATGTGGACATCTTGATATAAAGCATGATTCCTAGAAGAGCAGAATATTTTTAAAGATATTTTTATTTATTTGAAAGGTGGAGTTACAGAGAGGCAGAGGCAGAGGCAGATAGATGTCTTCCATCTGTTGGTTCACTCCCCAAATGGCCACAACATCCAGGGCTGAACCAGACTGAAGCCAGGAACCAGGAGCTTCTTCTGGGTCTCCCACATGGCTGTAGGGGCCCAAGCACACGGACCATCATCCATAACTTTCCCAGGATCATTAACAGGGAGCTGGATCGGAAGTGGAGCAGCCAAGACTCAAACTGGTGTCCACATGGGATGCTAGCACTGAGGCAGTGACTTAACTCACTAAACCACAGAGCCGACCCGAAGATAGAATCTTAAGGACCATTTTCTCTGAGTGAGTTCTGGGGTTCTGCAATTCCTTCCTCAATCTGGTTAGATTTAGAGCCAGTATTAACTCTTTCTCAGTGGTCAAAGAGCACTGGAAGGCTACAACAAGAAGTGGCAAAGATTATTCTCAAAGCATCACACTTCAATACCTGTCATGGAGTAGCTATGCAAGGCAAGGGTCTAAGGGACCAAGTATGTGGTGCCTGTGAACATTGTCATGAAAATGAGGCATACCATGGGAATGACTGATTGCTTCTAAATATGCTGAGCACTCAAGGAGGAAAATTATATGCTCAGGACCTTAAACTCCCAGGGTGAGGTCTACATCTATGACCTGAAATATACTGTAGTTGCCATGAAACAATACAAAAATTTTCCTCCTCTAGCCTCAGGTATAAGATTTAGGGAACCCCATGCAAAGTTGAATATTATGGGTGGGTGAGTTACCACATAAATTCAATATTAAGTCCCAAAGGTCCTTCTGTTAATTGTTGGAAACGAATGCAGTCCTAGAACTTGTAATGGGACATATGAGCAGACTCTGATGAATCTGTAGCCCTTATATTATTAAAATATTTTCCAAAAACTTTTGTTTATTCAATAGTCAGAGGGAGAGGGTGGCAAATGGGAGAGAAACAGAGAAAGAGCATGTTATCATCCATCATTTCATTCCTCAATTGCCTTCCATGACCAGAGCTGAGCCAGGTCAAGCCAGGAGCCAGAATTTCAGTTCAAACCTCTCACATGGGTATAGGTGGCTGGAACCAAGTTACTTGAACTGACACCTGCTGCTTCCCAGAGTTAGCAGTGGCAGCAAGCTAGAGCCAGGAATTGAAACCAGGACTCTGATGTGGGACATGGGCTTCTTAACCAGCAGCTTAACTGCTAGGGCAAATGCCTGTCCCTAAATCTAAATCCTGTGAGTCATCTTTGTCTATAGAGGCAGTCCTTCCACTCCAGGTGGAAGGAATTATTCCCTTGGTGCCCATGGAACAGAAAATGATTTTACTAGAAGTAGTGGCCTTGCAGGATCCTCCTTCAGCCACACCCACCACCTCTTTTCCCTCAGGCCCCATAGTGAGGCACAACATGTGGCCTATAAGGAGTTGCAATATTCACCAAAAGATATGCATGATTTTTTTTCCAATTTATATGGGCAGAAACAAGGAGATTTTGTGTGGAATTCATTTTAAGGGATGTATGTGAAGGTGGTAGGACAATATTGTTGAATAAGACAAAATTTATTTACATCATTCATTATGCCTAGGATCTGCATTCAAAGTTCGCATTTTAGGTGTTAGGGAAGACCTTCATAGTTTGTTTGGTGTTGACTGAAATAAGTTCCCCAAGTGTCCTACTCTAAATGAAGGAGGAATGTAAGAAGTAATGTACTGCATAAGAAGACATCTGAGGGATTATGGAGATTCAAATGTGACTATAAACTTCATAAGAACTGCTCGCTTACCTCTGTATGTCAGGAGGACACAGCTTTTTTTAATTAATTAATTAATTAAGGAATACAAATTTCATAAGTACAACTTTAGGAATATAGTTATTCTCCCCACCATAGCCTCCCTCCCGCCCACACACTCCCACCTCTCCTCCTCCTCCCTCTCCCCTTCCCAGTGCCATTCTCCATTGAGATTCATTTTCAATTAACTTTGTACCCAGAAGACCAACTCTATACTAAGTAAAGATTTCAACAATTTGCACACACACAAAACTGTTTGAGAACTTGTTTTACAGTTTACTCTCAGGACAGAAGTCCTGCATGGGAAGTTAATCTAACAATTAACACTCTAATGTATGACATCAGTGATCACTGAGGCTCTTGAAATGATCTGCCAAAGCTATGGAAGCCTTTGAGTCTAAAAACTCCATCAGTATTTGCACAAGGCCATAAGCAAAGTGTAAGTTCTCCCTTTAGAGAAAAGTACAACCTTCTTTGATGGCCACTTCTTTCCACTGGAGTCTCACTCACAGAGATCCTTCATGTAGAACATTTTTTGCCACAGTATCTTGACTTTCCATGCCTGAAATGCTCTCACGGGGTTTTCAGCCAGACCAGAAAGCCTTAAGGGCTGATTGTGAGGTCAGAGGGACATGACTTTTAGGACGGCTGTGGTAAATTATTTTCTAACAGGGAGCCTGAGGATCTGTGAAGAACTCAGTAGCAGCTCTTATCTGATGGGCAGGAATTACTGTGGGCTTTCCCTTGAGGAAGGATCATACTATGTTACCAAGTAATCATACTGCTCATTATCCTAACTTTCCTCAAAAGAGACCTATGACCCATTACCAGTATGGCAGTACATGGCGGAAAGGTATATAATCAGAATTCTCAGGGATTACATAATATTGGACTTGAATGACACTAATTTCAGGGGTGCCAAAATGTCACTGTGGCCCACCAATTAGAGAAAGAGTTTATGGATATCAGGGCATCAAGATGTACCTCAGCTGTCTCACAATTGGCTGATTTTTTTCCAAATCCACCTTGTGATGATTTATGGTATCATCAAGGATCTGAGAGGCATGAGATGGTAACTATCATGCCATCCATTACAAATTACCTTTTTGTCAGATGTTGAGCCAAGTGGATATTGGAGACTAACAGCCAATTACATAAACTTAATCTGATGGCTATTCCAATCACAACTGCTGTTCTACCGGTGGGTTTGTTGTTTCAACAATCAACGCATACCTGAATACCTGACATGCAGTACTGATTTATGAATGCTCCTTTTCCCAGACCATTAGCAGGGAACTGGATTGGAAGTAGAGCAGCTGGGAGATGAATCGGTGCCCAAACGGGATGCCAGCATCACAGATGGTGGCTTACACCCTACACTGCAATGTCAGACCCCTGGAATGATCTTTGGAAACATCAATTTAGCTCCAGGTTTGTGGCAATACAGTGTGAAGTTGGATGAACATAATCTAGGAGGTGGCAATGCTCTATCCCAGCATTCAGTATTTAGGATTCTTCCATAGCCACATTCGTATCTACAGGAATGAAGGAGACAATACAAGGGCCTCTTCTATTATTTCTGGGTATTTAATAGCAAATTTTATTCCCTGTCCTAACAACTTTAGGCTGTGCTAGAATACAAGCCTCTTTTTGCAAATGGAGAAGTGGTTTCAACACTGACTCCAACAAAGATTCTGTTGAAATGGAGATTGAGGGAGTCAGTTGACTGCTTTGGATTTCTCATCCCTCTTAATCAACTCTAGTGCTTATATTCTCTGGGGTTACAAAATTTGACTATTAATGGAAATTGTATTGCTACTAAATAGGGGCTACGGAAGAGCATGTATGGAATTTCTAGAGCTCTTCTTAGTATACTTGCCATGTTTGTGATCACAGTTAATGGAAAATTACAACAACCCAATTCATGAAGGACATCTAATGGCCCAGAATCTTCAGTAAGGAAAGTTTGAGTCATCCCTGCAGGCGAAGCATGTTGACCATTTGCGATCCTATCTCAAGGTAATGACTATTCAAAAAGGTAGTGAAAGAAGGTAGTCATAAACACAAGCTATGACTTGTGATATTCTACAGAAATCTACAAGTCCATGATAGTATTTACCTGATGAGTTAACAACTTCCCCTAGCACAGGCAGGGGAAAGAAACAAACAACAAGTTCTGCATTTGACCAAAACACTTAGGGAAGAAACAAACAACAAGTTCTGCATTTGAACAAAACACTTAGGGCAAAAGCCCCACTTTTATTAATAGAATTTCATAACATTATAAAGTCAACTAACATATTCAAGGAGGCAGAAACAATATCCAACATTTTTTTTTCCAGCAAACAACAACCGTATGGCTCTTTTTTTTCTCACTTATCACTGTCATAACAGGATTATGTGTTGGAGGACTAATTATCTTTGTTGAGGCATTCAGAAACTGTATTTTCTAGTATCTTCTCAAGGTGTCTAATTAAGTCTCGTCTTTTAAATCTGAAAACAAAGAGACATGTTATTAACCAAAAGATACCAAAATAACCAAAGTAGAGAGAGGCATTGTTGGGGATAGAGGGGAGCTTACCATCTACATGGAAATAGAAAATGCATATGAACAGATAAGAGATACTTTAGTAAATACAGACAGAATCAACTGGGGGCCAATGCCCACCTCAGATTATGGTAAGAACAAAAGTCACCACAGGCTTGGAAGAATGAGTTAGATTCGTATATTTTCAACCTAAATAACTGTGGAGACAGTCTTAACTAAGAGCAAGAGCTAGCATTTGAGAAACTGAAGGCAGGGGCTGTTCTCCACCACTCACAGGACCCAGTATTACACACAGCACAGAGTGCTTAAAGAAATTGGACAGTTCCTATTTCTACCCACCTTGCTGCTTCCTTGATGGTAAATTCAACAAGTTGTTTCTTGACTTCTGGAGGTCCTTGCACTCCTTCAAGCAGTTTGAAGATTTTTTCGTATTCTGTAGATATTTTAAAAAATCCTCAGTATTTTTCAAATATAAAGAAGAAATAAAACCCCATACCTCATTAATCATGCTTCATAGGCTAAAATGTTACATAGATGCATGTTTGAAATGCTGACATCAAGACACTTGAATATATCTCCTAATGAAACTCTTGTAAACAATAACTGTGTAAGAAAAAAAAAAAACAAAAGAAAAAGTGTACTGGGATGATGTAGTAAAATAAAAGAATAATAAAATTATGTGAAAACCCAGTTCTGGAAAAAAATGAGATTCATCAGGTAATGTTGATATAATCTAAATATAGAATAAAAGAGACTTCGCATGAGTTTTGGATAAACATTTGTATACAACTTACTTCGTCCAAACCGTCGAACTTCTTTCATTAATTGCTGTTTTATATCATTAATGTTATCTGGTCTTTTTGGCAAAGAGGGCTTCTCTGTGACTTTTGGATTATCTGTAGAGAGGTTACTGGTATCGATACCTCCTACAGGTACATCATCATCAGGCTTGTACATTGCCTCATCTTGGCTGGAACTAGTGATATCATCCAATTGTAGCGGCTTGGGTGGAAAAACATCTCCTGCCATACCCATCAGCTCTGGAGGAACAGATTTTGACATAGAGTCATCAGGTGGCTGAAGAGTTTCCATCTTCTCCTCATGGACATCATGAACAATAGTAGCATCTGGAAACCAAGTTGAGAGGTTGTGCTGTGAGGTAGGATTCTAGAATTAAGAATTAGCTGCCCATACTCTCTGCTCTGCACAGTGTCAGTGATTGGATTGCAGTGTGAAAGGCAAGCAGATTCAATTTCAGTTCAGCAAAATGATTACTCTGGCTGCACAGTTAGAGCATGGGTGAGACTGAGGACAGGAGAAAAAACTGGAGATCAGAAAAGAAGCTATTGCAGCAGCTTGCGGAGAGCCAATAGTAGTGTGGACTTGAGGATTAGAGAGAAGTGATGGGATTTAGAGGGGAGAATGAAACACTATAGCATAAAAATAAAGGAAGTTGCCATAAAGGTGGAAAAACCCACCCAATACTTTGTGAAGTATGGGGCTCCAAGAAAGTTTACATGGAGAGGGCATAAACAACTGTATCAAATGTTACTGAGAAATTAATGGCAAGGGTGCAGGCATTTGGCTTAGCGGCTAAGACATTGGTTAAGATGACTGCATCCCGAGGAGGGCTCCAAGATGGTGGAATCTCGTATTGGAGTACTTGAGTTTGATTCTCAGCTTCAGTTCCTGAATCCAGTTTCCTACTAATGCAGACCCCAAGAGGCTACCCATGTGGGAGACCTGAATTGAATTCCCATTTCCCAGCTTTGGCCTCAGCCAAGGATTTGTCTATGGGATGATGTGGACATTTGGGGAGTAAATCAGTTGATTAGTTTTTATCTCTGCCCTTCTCAAATAAATAAATAAAATAAATTAGTGGCGATGTCTGCTAACACTGAGAGCTTGATAAGAACAGTTTGGGTGGAGTAGAAGTGGCAGAAAACAGGCTGCACTGTATTATACCATTAAGTGCAGGTGAAGACAGACATACTTACCAATTTCCTTGGACACAGAAGAGCTCTCAGGATGGGATTCTTCCTCTTTTTCCTGTTTCACTAACAGCAGGGATGTACTTGGCTTTCTCTTAGAGGATGTAGGACTCTGAGGTTCCCCAGGACGTTTCAATTTGTTTTCAGGTTCTGCAACAAACTCATTTCCTTCGCCAGACATCATTTTCTGAAAACACATCCATTAACAACCAACATCCATTCATTGCAAAATTTTTAAACAGATTTTGTAAGTATATACATATCATGTATATGCATCATTACTATGATTTTTAAAGATTCATTTATTTATTTGAAAGTAAGAGTTAGAGAGAGAGAGAGAGAGAGAGGAAGAGGAAGAGGGAGAGGGAGAGGGAGAGGGAGAGGGAGAGGGAGAGGGAGGGAGAGAGAGAGAGGTTTTCCTTTGCTGGTTCACTCCCCCAAGTGGCTGCAATAGACAGGACAGGGCCAGCTGAAATCAGGAGCCTAGAATTCTGAGTCTTCCACAAGGGTGGCAGGGGCCCAAGAACTTGTGCCATCTTCTGCTGCCTTCCCACACACACTAGCAGGGAGCTGGATTAGAAGTAGAGCAGCCCAGACTAGAACAGGCATTCATACAGGATGTGGGTGTTGCAGGTGATGTCTTTACCTGCTATGCCACAACGCTGGCCCCTGCTATGAATTTTAAACATGGGTTATGGTTTACCATGCCCAAGAACCATTATACTCTCAGAAAAGGCAGCCTAAGTCTTTTTAGTCCAGGCGAAAAAAGGAGGAAAGTAACATACAAGGTGTTGTCTCAAGTCAAAGATGGTATAGTAACGGTTAATAACAATGATTGGGGAATAAACAACTCTCATTAATCAAAAGTTTATGAAAATACAATAATCTCTTTGAAGAAGTATAGACTAATCTGTATCAACTCTTTTTAGGAGGTATCATTCTTCTTTTTTCCCTCCTCATTTAAGGAGGACAGTATAAACCTACATTGGAAAATTATAGGCCAAAATATCTGCTGAATTTAGACAAAAAATATTAAACAATAGGGTAGATATTTGGCATAGTGGTTAAGAAGTTGCTTGGGATGGGGCTGCCATAATGGCACAGCAGGTTAAACTACCACCTGCGATGCTGGCATCCCACATGAAAGCTGGTTTGAATCTCAACTGTTCCACTTCTGATCCAACTCCCTACTAATGCAACTGGGAAAGCAGCAGATGACGGCCCAAGTACTTGGACCCCTGTCACCAATGTGGTAGACCTAAATGGATTTTGGGGAGTGTACCAGTGAATGCAGATTCTCTCTCTCTCTCTCTCTCTCGTCATCCTTTCAAATAAAATAAATCTTAAAAAAAGAAGTCAATTGGGACACCTGTGCCCCATATCAGAATGCCTGAATTGGAGTCTTGGCTCTATTTCTGATTCCAGCTTCCCGCTAATGCACATCCTGGGAAACAGCAGGTGGGAGAGCTGGATTGAGTTCCAAGTTCCTGGCTTTTGACTGGCATAGCTCTGGCTTTCCCAGGCATCTGAGGAGTGAGCCAATGGATAGAAAAATCTCTCTCTTCTTGTCTCTATCCCTCTCTTTGTGACTGTCTTTGAAATAATAAATAAAAATGCTAAACAAAATACTAGCAAATATTAGCAAATATAAGCAACAGTATATAAAAGGATATCATCAATCATAGAGGAGTATATTGCAGGAAGGAAAGATTTCATTGAAAGTTAATCAATGTAATACACCACATTAACAACATAAAAAACCAGGGAAAACCAGATGATCATTTTTATAGAAGGATCAATGTTTAAAATCTACTCATAATAAAAATCTATAAGCAACTTAGCATAGGAACATTTTTAATCTGACAAAATATATCTACAAAAAGGAAATCATACCAAATACCATACTTAATAAAACAACATTTTTCTCAGAGTTTAGAAACAACTCAAGGATGTTCACTGTCTATTTAACAATTTTATGGAGATCCTAAAAAATATAATATCACCACACCACAAAAATATAATGAGGGTAAAATTTAAGACAAAAGAAATTCAGCTCATTATTTATATATGACATCTTGTATTTGCAGTTTTTAAAAGGATATAAAATAATTAGGGTTAACAAGCAAATTTAGTCAAGTTATTGGATATAAGCAAAACCACTTGTTGCAGGTGTCTGGCACAAAGGTTAAGTCATCAATTGGGACTCCCACATCTCATATCAGAGTTCCTGGTTTGAGACCTAGCTCATCTGCTTCAGATATGGCTTTCTGCTAATGTGTGTCCTGAGAGAGAGCAGATGGTGGCTCAGGCACTTGGGACCCTGCCATCCCTGTGGGAGACCTGTGTGGAGTTCCAGGCTCCTAGCTTCAGACTGACCTAGTCCTGGCTTTTGTGGGCATTTGACAAATGAAACAGTAGATGGAAGATCTCTACCTTTCTGTTTTGCTGCATTTCAAATAAAAAGTGAAAATAATTTTAAGATACTTGTACTTCTGCATATTTCCAACAAAAATAACTAGAAAATAAAACTTAAAATGTCACTGAAAATAGTGTCTAAGTGCTGCAGCGGTTAAAGCACCTCTTGGTTTTATTGCCTTTTATCGCAAAAGCAAAAATAGACAAGCTAAGAAGCTTCAGCACAGCAAAAGAAACAATTAATAAAATTAAGAGGCAGCCAATAGAATGGGAGAGAATATTTGCAAACTATGCATCCAATAACAGATTAATATCCAGGATATGTAAGGAGCTCAAGAAACTCAACAACAACAAAACATACAATCCAGTAAGGAAATGGGCAAAGAATACCAACAGGCAATTTTCAACAGATGAAATACAAATGGCCAAAAGACACAAGAAAAAAGTGTTCAGGATCACTAGCCATCACAGAAATGCAAATAAAAATCATAGGAAGGCATCACCTCATTCCAGTTAGAATGGCTACTATCCAAAAATTTTTTAAAAATAAATGCTGGTGAGGTTGTGGAGAAAAAGCTACCCTAATGTACTTTTGGTGGGAATGCAAATTAGTACCAACATTATGGAAAACAATTTGGAGATTCCTCCACAAGATGAAAGTAGATCCAAAATATGACCCAGATATCCCACTCTTGAGAACATATCTGAAATAAATGAAATCAGCATATGAGGGAGTTACATGCATTTGCATATTTGTAGCAGCTCAATTCACAATAAGCTAAGATATGGAATCCATCAATTGATGATTTGGATAAAGAAAATGTGGTGTATATACATGATGGAATATTACTCAACCATAAAAATAATGAAATTCTGACATTTGCAGCAAAAGAAAAAAAAACTGATGATAATTATGCTAAGTAAAATAAGCTAGACCAAAAAAAGACAAACATCATTTGTTTCCTCTTAACTTGCAGTAGCTAATATATGGAGTAAAAAATTTGTGTGGATGTCAGATCATTTGGTGTACAGCTATAAATATTGCTTCAATGATTCATTCCATGTAAATGATAATACACTATTCTTTCCTATGTTAAGAAAATGGAGGGGGGGATATGTGAGGACTCTCGGGATACTAGTAATATTTTGTTCTTAATTTTAGTGTTGGTTATGAGTGTGATCAGAATACCAAAAACTCATTTGTCTGTACATTTATGTGCATTTATTGGTATGTATACTGTAATTCAATAACATGTTTTTTTTAAAGGCACTGCTTGGAACACATGCATACCATATCAAAGTGCCTGATTTTAATTCCTGCCTCTTCTTTCAATTATAGCTTCTTGCAAATGTGCACTCTGTGAAGCAGTATGTGATGGATGAAATAGTTGGGTCCCTTCCATCCATCTGGGAAACCCAGATTGAGTTCCAGGCCCCTGCCCTTGGCCTTGCCCAATCCCAGCTGTTGTGACCATTTTGGGAAGTAAAGCAGCAGATGGTAGCACTCTGTCTCTGTCTCTTTCTTTCTCTCTCTGTTGTTTTCACTCTCTGTCTGACTTTCTTTTTTTTTAAATTTTTAAATTTTTTATTTTTTGACAGGCAGAGTGGACAGTGAGAGAGAGAGACAGAGAGAAAGGTCTTCCTTTTGCCATTGGTTCACCCTCCAATGGCTGCCGTGGCCGGCGCACTGCACTGATCCAATGGCAGGAGCCAGGTACTTTTCCTGGTCTCCCATGAGGTGCAGGGCCCAAGCACTTGGGCCATCCTGCACTGCACTCCCTGGCCACAGCAGAGAGCTGGCCTGGAAGAGGGGCAACCGGGACAGAATCCGGTGCCCTGACCGGGAATAGAACCTGGTGTGCTGGTGCCGCAAGGCGGAGGATTAGCCTAGTGAGCCGCGGCGCCGGCCCTCTGTCTGACTTTCAAAATAAATATTTTTTTAAAAATAAATATTACCATAAGCATCAAATACCTAGAAAAAATCTAATGAAAAATGTTCTAGAGCATCAAACACAAACTATAAGACATCACTGAGAGAAATTGAAGTCTTCAGTAAATAAGGAGAAATATTCATTCCATTGATTGTAAGACTGGTTATTAAAACTCATTATTGTCAAATTTTTTTCCAAGAGTCATTATAGTAATCTTATTTAAAATGTCACCATGTTAAAGAAAATTGATAAGCTGACAAAAAGTATATGGAAATTAAAGGGTTTAGAAAAGCAAAGACAATCATGAAGAAAAAGAACATGGTTGAAAGACATAAATAAATACAAAATTTACTAGACAGAGTAAATAAAAACATTGCAGTAATGGCAAAATTATAGGCGAACACACCAATGGAAAAAGGGTACAGAAAAAAATCTGCAAATACAAAGTTGTATTTGTAGTTGTATTTATGAAAGAAGGGCAGCTGTAACTCATTGTGGAAAGGATAGTTCTTTTAATAAGTCCGCTTGATATGTGTATATATATTATATAATTATATATTATATAATTACATATTATATAATTATATTTTATAATATATAACAATTACCATACCTTATATACTATATGATATATAATATACATACTATATGCTATGTGATATATAATATACATATGCTATATAATGTATTATAACAATATATATATTTACAATAATAAATCAATTTTAAACTAACATCCCAATAAAATTTGGAAAAACGATCTGAATTGTAAGTCACAAAAGCATAACAAAATGGTTGATAAACACAAAAAAGTGATCTAATTCAATCGGCAATCAGAAATTCATGTGTAAACACAACAAAAGCTCATCCACCAAAATGGCTGAAATGACAGACTACAAGCAATGTGTTTTGAGTGTGCGTTGCTTCTGGAACCTTCACACAGTACTGTATCATTTTGATAAGATGCCTAAGTGCATTGTGGGAAAGTACAATGGTGCCCCAAGGAGGGGCTCCCTCAGCGCTAATAAGATAAGGGACGAAGAGGCCCCGCTCCAGCGGGACGGAGCATCCCAGTGACAGTACCCGGCAATGTGCCGGTAACTAAGATTGAGAACCTAACGGTTCGTCTCCACCAAGGGCTGAGGAAAAGCAGCCAGGTAAGGATCCCTCTCCCACGAGGGAAGCCATAGTCTTGGCTGCCACACACTTCACAGACAGCCCCAGAAAGACAACAATCTCCAGTGCTGAGAAGCAGCACCGGAAGTGAACTTGCCTCCCCGCTGGCTGGCGACGAGCCCTCAGAGCCCCACCTCAGACTTAGGGCCTTCAAGAAACAGGACCCCCACCCCCCCACACACTGCCACCCCCACCCTGGAACTGTGACAGAACATGGAAGGGCAAGTTCTCCTCAGCACTGAGAGCGCCTAGGTCCAGTCCTCATCAGGGGTGGGCACAAGTGAAGAAAAGGGGGCGTGTCAAGGCTGAGGCTGTCGCTCACAGGCTGTGAGCCAAGCCCCGGCGGGAGAAAGGCTAGAAAGCTGAGACATTGTATCCAAGGGACAGCCACCACCTCCTCCCAGCCCAGGCCAATGAGCCCCTCTCCCCGACCGGGAAGAGTTGGCCTCCCACGAATCAGCGCCCGGAATCCCGGCACAGCCCCCACAACACGGCTGGACACTCTCGGCAGGGTCGCCTCAGTAGAGCTGAGGTAACTCCGTGAGGAAAAATCCTTCAAAAAAGTGGGGTAGAACACTCCAGAAAGTCCCCACCCAACCTAGCTGCCTCATGGTGGTCAAGGGAAAAGTATTCCCCAGAGGCTGACTAGAACCGCCAAAGATGGTTCACCACAGACTGAGAGAAGATGTCGAGGCCGGGTACTACAGCCTCGATGGCGGATAACTGGGGACACCTTCGGGGCCTAAATGAGACAGCCAAAGACAAGTTGCTCTTGCCCACGGTGCTGAAATCCCGACCTGGCCAACAGAGCCCGGGGGAGCCTCACCACAGGGCGGTCAAACTGTAGCGCACCCAGGAGACTTTCTATTAAGTCGCCCTCTGAGTCTTGTGGGAGATGCGCCCCCTAGGGATTCTGGGAGTAACGTCCACAACAGCTGGTGGTTCACCAGGGGGACTCTCATTACCATCCCGGCAGTGGGGGGGTGGAGGGAAACTAAGCGCAGCTGGCCCCTCGGCCCTGCCCCAGCCAGCCGCTGGAAAAGCTGGGTACGGTACTAGAGCTGGATGTCGAGAACCCTGGTGACCAGCAGTAGCACTATGTCTGCCCACCAGAACCAGAAAGCCCACCTTCCCTTTCTACTTTTTCTGGTCCCCCCCCCCCCAGATGATCATCCTTTCTCTTGCCCCTACAGATGGTCATCTGTGTCAGTTAGCACATTTTTAAAGGGACCAGAACCTTTTTATACAGAGCAGGGCAAAAGGGCAAATTTGGAGCTGACAAGCCAGAAGTGGCCAACTAGCATACTATATTAACATAAAAAAAAAAAACAAAACAGAAACTAATATGATCATCCAAATTGATGCCAAAATCATGAAGGAAAAATTATTAAGAAGGGTATATGCGGAGGTGGTGGCTCTCTGCCTTAATGGGTAAAGCCGCCGCCTACAGTACCGGCATCCCATATGGGCACCCATTTGAGTCCTGGCTGCCCCACTTCTGATCCAGCTCTCTGCTATGGCCTGGGAAAACAGTGGAAGATGGCCCAAGTCCTTGGGCCCCTGCACCCGTGTGGGAGACCCAGAAGAAGCTTCTGGCTCCTGGCTTTGGTTCGGCGCATCTCCAGCCATTGTAGCCATTTGAAGGGGTGAACCACCAGATAGAACACTTTCTTTGTCAGTAACTCTACCTCTCAAATAAATCTTCGAAAAAAATGAGAAGGGTATATGCGAGATACCCACAACATATATTACTTCTAAGAGAATATCAGAAGTATCCCTTGAAATATCCAAAACAAATCAGGATTTTATTTCTTTTTTTAAATTATTTAAGTTATATAAGTTTCATGTATTTCATATATACAGATTCAGGAACATAGTGATACTTTCCCTCCTGCCCACACTCCAACCCTTTTTCCTCCTCCTTCTCACATTCTCATTCTTAGTTTTTACAAACATCTATTTTCAGTTTAATTAATGATTATATACTTAATGCTACATTAAGTAAAAGGGTTCAACAAATAGTATAAAAAAAAGAAAAAAAACACTGTTGTGGTCATCTGGGGAGTGAACTAGAGGATCAAATCTTTCTCTCTCCCCCTTTTCTTCTCTCTAACTCTGATTTTGAAATAAATAAAAATTTTTAAAAAGTCACCAAGGTGGCCAGTGCCGCGGCTCACTAGGCTAATCCTCTGCCTGCGGTGCTGGCACCCCGGGGTTCTAGTCCCGGTCGGGGCACCGGATTCTGTCCCGGTTGCCCCTCTTCCAGGCAACTCTCTGCTGTGGCCCGGGAGTGCAGTGGAAGATGGCCCAAGTGCTTGGGCCCTGCACTCCATGGGAGACCAGGAGAAGCACCTGGCTCCTGGCTTCAGATCAGCTCAGTACGCTGGTCGCAGCAGCCATTGGGGGGGTGAACCAACGGAAAAAGAAGACCTTTCTCTCTGTCTCTCTCACTGTCCACTCTGCCTATCAAAAAAAAAAAAAAAGAAAGAAAGAAAAAAAGAAAAAAAAAAGAAAAAGAAAAAAAGAAAAAGAAAAGAAAAGAAAAAAAAAAGTCACCAACTTTAGAATGAGCATCTTGGGTGGCATGGTAACACAGTATCTCATTCAAGCATTCAGTCGCAACTAGGCTAAATGTTTCTCGAAAGGAATAGTTTGATACTTATGTATCTAGGAAATAGTTTCAGTTAAAAGCTGAGGTCCTATAATCATGGAAAAGTCTGATTACTTCCTTTTGCCAATGCACCCCCACCCTAGTAAACGGCTACAGGACACTTTGTATAAGAATGGAGAAAGAATAACAGTATGAACTTGTTCAGCATACAAGTGTCCTTCAAGAAGCCTTCCTTCATACATAGGTTTCTGCATTTTTAATCAAGTCAAACCTGAAATTTTATTGGTTTAGGGACCCCCCCCCCAATGATAATGAGATTAAAGAGAGTTTGTCTGAAAAGCAGAAAATCCTGGGGCTGGTGCTGTCCCATAGAAGGTTAAGATTCTGCCTGCAGTGCCAGCAGTTGGTATGGGCACTGGTTTGAGTTCTGGCTGCTCCACTTCCAATCCAGCTCTCTGCTAATGTACCTGGGAAAGCAGCGGAGGATGGCCCAGGTACTTGGACCCCTGCACCTACATGGGAAATCTGGAAGAAGCTCCTGGTTTCAACTTGGCCCAGCCCCTGCCGTTGTGGCCATTTGAAGAGTGAACCAGCAGATGGAAGACATTCTCTCTCTCTCTCTCTCTCTTTCTCTCTCTGTGTTTCTGCCTTTCAAATAAATAAATCTTCAAAAAATATCATGTAAAGCACCTCTAAATGTTCCAGTGTCCAGTGATCAAAACCATTGGAAAATATTGAAAAACGTAACAACGAAATTCAATCAGACTGCCAATGGCCATGAACCTTAGGAATGAAGGTTTGGATCACACTACTAGGAGAAGGACTTTGACTGTGAAGCTGCTTGCTGAGGGCAAAGGGGGTGCAAAATGAAAGTGACCACAAGTAATATGTACCAACAAGGACTCTAATAATTTTGAATATTACTTCATTATATTGATATGAATGTTTACATAACTATGAACTCTGTTTTTGCTTCAGAGCACCTCCAACCCCTTGGCTGCTAACATAAAATATGTTACCAAGTGTTAGCTTTATTTCTCAGTATTTAAGGAAAAGTCCATTAAAGGTATTTGTGTATCAGATAGCAAAACAATAAACAAGAATTAAGCATTATCATTAGACTCTGCATCCCTTTCAGGAAAAAGTTAAAAGTGTTTTTTTATAAGCAGGGAAATGTGTCTCATGTGAGGCAGATATTTGACTTTGTCATTGTCTTAAGAGATTACATATAGTTTAATGAGAAGTGCGTGGGTAACAAGACGAAAAAGAGGTACCCCCTGTGTTAACTGGGCTAGGTGAATTTGTTACAGACAATTCCCTTTTGTGTATATTTGCAGTTAGAGTTTCCCATGGGGAGATTCTTTGAAGACTGCAAAATGTATTTAACAACAAAGAGTAGCCTTTTTTTCTTTTTAAACCGACACCCATTGTTCCTGAACTCCTGTTTGAACTTTTGACATGACCCTGCCTCTGGGCCTTCAATGGCTTCATCTTTCTCTACCTCTCTATCTCATCTCCTTCACTTTCTCTATCTTTTAGATAAGGTGCTTGTGTTTAGCTCTGTGAGAAAGGGGTCTGTATTCTGTAGGATATCCATGTAACCAAGGTCAGAGGCAACAATAATGGAGATTGGTCCTTTTTGGGGTTCTAGATTATGTTTGTGGTTTTTAGCCTATCCTCATCCCTATCTTACTGGAGGTGACAGTCATCTTACAGAGACGTCTTACTCACATTCTACAGTTACTTGAGACCAATTTTCTGCAACAACTTGCTTGCTCTAAGACCAATTTTTTATAACAGCAGCAGCAGCATCGATGAACATGAAGTATATTTCCCTTTTTCTGCTTCTTTAGTTGAACTTAATTGATATAGGCAGAACGATGACTAACACTTGTAACACCTGTTTCTAAATTTCAGCAGCTTTCCTTTTGTGGATAAATTGTAGAGATGTGCTTTTTGGAATTCTTTTATAATTTCCTTTATAATTTTAACATTTTTGAACCAAGCATAAATAAATGCAATTATTTATAGTAAGTGAGTTATTTTAAAATATTATTAAATTTCATGTTTTTCTATGTCTGGTATTTGAGCAAGGTTAGGAAAGACAATCATTTTGATCTATGGAGTGTCCACTGCAGTCCCTCAGTGAGCATGTATTCAGATGGCAGATGAGCTTCTCTGGAGAGTTTTGTTGTGATAATATATACACAACATAAAATACCATTTTATTTTATTTTTTAAAAAATATTTATTTTATTTGTTTGAAAGAATTACAGAGAGAGGAAGGGACAGAGAGAAAGGTCTTCCATCTGCTGGTTCACTCCCTAGATGGAACAACAACTGGAGCTGCACCAATCTGAAGCCAGGAGCCAGGAGCTTCTTCCAGATCTCCTATGCGGGTGCAGAGGCCCAAGCACTTGGGCCATCTTCTACTGCTTTCCCAGGCCATAGCAGAGAGCTGGATCAGAGAGAGGCAGCCTGGACTAGAACTGGTGCCCATATGGGATGCCAGTGCTTCAGGCCAGGGCCACAGCACCGGCCCCAAAACATTACCATTTTAACCACTGAAATATTTTAAGATTTATTTTTTAATTTATTTGAAAGGCAGAGTTACACAGAAGGGAGAGAGAGAGAGAGAGAGAGAGAATCTTCTACCTGTTGGTTTATTCCCCAAATGGCCAGAGCAGCCAGAGCTGGGCCAGGCCGAAGCCAGGAACCTGTAGCTTCTTCCTGGTCTCCCATATGGGTGCAGAGGCTCAAGCATTTGGGCCATCTGCTGCTGATTTCCCAGGCCATTAGCAGGGAGATGTATCAGAAGTGGAGCAGCTGGGTCTCAAACCAGCATACCTATGGGATGCTGTCATCACAGGCAGACCTTAATCAGCTATGCCATAATGCCTGCCCCTTAATCACTTAAATTTTGAAAAATTAATTCTACTCTTTATTTATTTGAAAGGCTGAGAGACAGAGACAGATATATAGAGAAAAAGAGTATTCTCTAAATGCCCACAATAGTCAGGGTTGAGTAAGACCAAATACTGGAGCTGAGAAATTAATCCAATTCTTCTATGTGGGTGACAGGGCTCCAAGTACTTGAGCCATCACCTGCTGCCTCCCAGGGTGCAAATGAGCAGGAAACTGGAATCTAGGGAAGCAGAACTGGGACCCTATCCCAGGCATTCTGATATGGAATGTGGGCATTCCAAGCGATGTATTAACTGTTATGCCAAAGAAACACCTCTTAACCATTCTGAAGTGTACGTTCAAGTATTGAGTCCATTCACAATGTTGTGGAACCATCAC